ATTCTCCCAATATATAAACAAACTCCAACAGATCTCTCTCTCTCTTGTCCATCAAATTACTAAGTTCAACGTCAGTTGCAGAATGCAGACGCATGAGAGAACATATGCTTTACGGCGAGGTCGATAAGAATACCATTGACAAGCCAATCAAGCAAACCCGTTTAAGATATTGATCTTGATTTAATAGGGACCCACATGTGAGAGGGCACTTTCTCTGATGTCCGAATGGAATCTAGTTAACACTATACCCCACCACATGCCTGTTGACACCAATTCACTGGTTTAGATTGATCGATCTTCCATTGGGTATTGGGTTACAGACTCCGGTTCCTCTGTCAAGGTGCTTGCTTTTCGCCCTTTAATTGCAGCTTTAACTTGGTGTTTACCCCATTTTCGTGGATTCCATGGCCATGGAATTGAATGCTAATCCACCTTTGTTAGAGTGGTTGCGACTCCCATCAATGCATCAAGCTAATTAAGTGCTATGTAACAGAAGAGCTTTGATCAAAAATTTTGATAAATATCACCTAATTGATTATCCCGTTTGTGATACTTGTTGATTAGTCACAAGTTTTTCGAATATCATATCTTTCCAGTATTATAACATATACTTGTTGATTGGTCACAATGCAGCTAAAGTTTTAAGCATGATTTTCAAAACCGGATTGGACCAAACAGTCGGATTGGAAAACTGGGAACCGATCAAGTGATTAGTTCTGTTTTTCCCCAAAAACTGTTGATTTTGRTTAATAAACCGCTGACCCGGGCAGTTAATCGTTCGAACAGTTTTGACCTTTTTTTTTTATTTTTTTGTTAAAACGAGCTGAGCATTCGACCCAAGAACTGGACCCCTGATCAATTCGTTCTCCGGATCGATTTTAAAAGCCTTGGTTCCAAGTGTCAATGCACCTCTTGCTCTTCTATTGTTTTTAGTTTTTTTTTCAAATTTTCACAAGGGACTTATTTTTATATTATCTAATTATTAAAAATAGAATTTTTAAAAATAACTTGAAATAAGTGTATCGGTACCCCAAAGATACGGTACATGCAATACTGAGACCTTGAATGCAACATTGACAATATTCAAAAGCTAAAAACCCACTAGTTTCAAAGAGTGAAGCCAAGAAACTTATAGAATCAGGGGCTACCCATTCCATTTTATTCCTGAATTCCATTGATGAGAACACAAAAATTGGATTGTACATATGTACGTGCTTGGATAATTGGATTTCCCCAATTGCACGGAATTATAAATATTACCCTCTCCAGTGAGGATTTCAAAACCTACTAGAAACCCAAATTCTGTGCTGAGACAACTACAAGAGTATTTGAAGAATGGACCATGGATAAATCCTCGATATTTTTTCTTGGGAAAATCTATGGTACCGGAAAGACATGGTATTGGAAGGATTTAACCAATTAAAGCACCCCCGTTAATTTGATGAATACCATCTGATTGGTCACCTCTTTTATGATATTTTTCGGTATCATGGTCGAACCTTTTTTTTTTCTTTCTATGGGCTGTAAGTGGAGGTTTGAATCCAAAACCATAATTTAATTACTATTGCCCTAAGGGAAAAAGGATGCACCTGATTGTTTGCAATGCAATTTAATTTGTATAAATACGCAGGAGTATAAATCAAAAGTGCAAATTCTAGTTCACTTTTGCATTAAGTTTTACTTTTTCATTTACACAAGAAAGTAAAAGTTGAAACCAAAATAAACCAGAATTGGCATTCAACTCTAATCATGAACTTAAACTTAGACCATCTCCGATAACTTTAGAGTAATCAGCTTCAGCACCACTTAGGGATTCAAAAATCTGCTAAAACAGTGGAAAGTTTTGTTAAAAAGCTCACTGTTTTTCGGATTTTTCACAAAACTCCATGGTAGAGGGTTCGAGCCAAACAGCAAAACCCAGAAAGTAATGGATTCCAATTTTGCTTCTGGACCCTCATTTCCATTTCTGTCCAACACAAACACAAAGCTAAGCCAGCGCACCCAACAGTGGTTGGATAATGAAGAATAGAATAAACAGTTGTTATCCTACTTTGGATTTGAGGGTTTAATTCTCATAGCATCTGTCTTTCCCGTCACAAAACTGTACCCGGTTTATTCCTTTATTATTTTTTGTGGATTCTCTAACAATACGTAGTGCGACACAAAACAGTGCCGGCACATTTGCCATTTGCGTGGGATCTACTTTTAATTAGAAAAATAAATAAAAGCTTCATCATTCATTCCTGTCATTGGGCTTTTGGGGGCCTTTTAGACCTTGTTGGGCTGGGTACAGCCATACAGCCTAGCTCATTCATGTTGATTACCCAACAAAAACTACACATAGACCACCCTTTATAGCCCCCCCTCCAAAACACACAACTAACTAAAATATTGTAGCAGATTCAAAGTGGAAAAGCTAGTCTCAAGMACTAAAAGCTTTGAACGTTGTTTACAGCCATGGATGGATACAACATACAAGCTTCAAAAGCAGGTCCATTGACTGGAGACCAATATTGGACTGCTTTAAGACCTGGGCCCAACTTGGTCTCTGTGGTCCATTAGCCTCACCTTACCAACCCCATAACATCGGCTCTGCTATTACGGATTCCCGTGGTCAGTTCATCATCATAACCAGTCGGATCTACTTATCATCTCCCTTCATCCCACCATTTGTGTRATTATCCCAAAATATGAAGAAAGCCCAAATTCTACTGTAGCCCATATTAGAGTTTTATCTGCATTTTATGTATTTGAGAATTGAGGCAGCAATTGGAATAATGGACCTGGGCTTATATTTGGCCTGTAATGGTGTACAAACTAGCCAACATGAGATGAGATGGGTATGGCTATGGCTGTTGTACTTGCACTTTTGGCCTATCACCCAGAATAACTCCAAAAGAAAACTGTGGGCGCAGGTTAATAAATGAGCTGCTGGTGGCTCAAGTTAGCAGGCGCATTTTAATTCGGTTCTTATCTGCTTTAGGATTGTATGATTAGAATGGATATGAATTTCGATTCCGTGGAAATGAAATGACTAGTCCAGCAGGAAATCGAGTTCTACTAAAACACGGAATGTTGAATTTTGTTAATTAATCTTTTTTTCCGCGTTTCTCTAAATCTGCACCGCAGAAAAAAAACAGGATCAAAAGATTCAAAGAATTGACAAACCCAATTCCATATCCAATTCCCAAATCCATACTAATCCAAACGCAACATAGCAGGAATGCAACCAGGGAGGAATAAAGACGGAAGTGATTTGGCTCGGTTTCGATTTTTCACAAGTTTTTATTCTATCAAGGGAATATTCCCTGGGTTACGCCAGACAAAAGGGATATTCAGAAGGACGATATGGGGAATATCACAACACGTGTCACGAGGAGAATCCTCTCTGGAACCTAGAGAGAGAAACTGAAAGAGAAGAGAATCTGCACAAAAGGTGTGGGTTGGAGTCTTGTACCTGAAGACTTGATTTCTTTACAAAGAGTGAAACACTAATTATTGCACAGGGTGTTCGATGCAATTTTCTTTCATCTTTTCTTTTCAACCCGATTTTGGAAAAAAAAAAAAACCCTCCGATCACCTCCAARTTCTACTGCTGTAAATATAAATGGATCCCCACTAAGCCTGGCATAAGGGTGCAATTTGGGTCGGATTGAGTTAGGAATTTATTAAATTTTGAATGGCCCAAAACCCTAGTATATGAGGCCAAGTAATTGAAAATTTTCAAATCAGGCAACCCGGGTTGCAACTTGCAACCCTAGTTACCATGGGTCGCGCGCTTTGATCCAAAAGCAACCCAAACCCACCTGGGGAGGTGGGTGACCCGACCCGGACTGTCCAACCGACCAACGGAAATGTGAACAAATTTAAAACTTTAGACAAGCTACAATCCCATTAAAAACACTGTAAATACAGAGAGAATCTTCTTACCTTCCTACCCACTTCACTAAAGTTAGTAGCAGAAGAAGATTCTCTCACACCTTAGAGGCTCCCCTTTTTATTCTTTTTGAGGCTTTGTTTTTGCTTCTTTAAGCTTTGTGGGTGTGTGGTTCCCTTAGTTTAGATTAGAGTCGTAGAATTGGAACTAAGATATTCCTTACTTGGAGGGCCGGAGGCAAATATAATATTCCTTTTTGTGTGTAGGTTGCAATTAGATATTCTACCATGTATATTAAATCAAGCACATTATATCACTTTTGAAACCCTAAAAGAAAAGTGAAGGGTGATGAATAGATACTAAAACACGTTTGAATATGTCTCTCTGGCTCTTCTTTTTATCAATGTAAACATTGGTATATGCCCTTTTCAAGCTTTGCTTTCATCAATTTATGCCTTAATTAACTACTAATTAAAGGTGGTATCATTTGTATTCTGGTTTATATAGGAGAACCAATACTAAGTTCAGCATGCCTTCAAATGCTGCTACCATGAAATGATCATCACAACCATCCAATCTGCCTCATCAGCAGCATTGTCATCATCTATTGCATAAATTTGTTTCACCAATTCAGGATCCATGACCATAAGAGTTTGACAAAAGTTTTAATGCCGACTATCAACCTAATACAACTCTTATCTTTTATCCGAGCTTGAAATCAACTCTCTAACCAAGATAAACTCACACGGGTGGACGGGTGGAGTTATCTCATGCTTGCTAAAACACAAAACACAATTGTATTAGATAAAACATGAATAGGGGAAAAAGTCGGATTTTTTTTTTTTTTTTGAGGGGTTCAAATTTCAAAATTTGAGAAGAGGAATTACAACCAAAAAGTGAATAAAGCATAGGACGACAAGAAGAAGAAGAAGAAGAAGAAGAAGAATCTTTTTAAATGGTGATTTGCAATAGTACAAAGAAGACCCCAAAGGTTCTAAAACCGGTCTCTAAGCACATGACCCCCTCTCTCTGTCCAAACCGGATTCCTTCTCAGAACACCCATTAACTTTTGCCTTTGTTCGTTGTAAGAAGTTACCATACCCTTGCTTTATCACCTGCTTTTCTTTCCAAAACCCAACTTTATTCCCCTCGAACTCACCTCTAAAAAGAAACCATCCTCCCCCTATCCACATTGTGTTCACAAAAAAACAATCTCTCTCTCTCTCTCTCCCACTTGAATTCACCTCTTCAAAAAGAGCAAGCATCTCCTCATCTCAACTTGTTGTGAGCAACCGGAGACATGCACATTAACGACGAGTGAGCTTGCTAGAGAGAAGACTGAACATTTCACGACGTAAATTATGGGTTCGCCTGCAGAACTAAGTCTAGACTGCAAGCCCCACAGCTATTCTTTGCTGCTAAAGTCCTTTGGAGAACAGACTGATCAGACTCAGAAACTCGAAGAATTCCTTTATCGTCTCGAGGAAGAGCGACTCAAGATCGATGCATTCAAGCGTGAGTTACCCCTCTGCATGCAGCTTCTCACCAATGGTAATTCTCTCGTGCTTCGTATTATAACCGATGTAGCACGTTGCCAAGTATCAACAAACAAAGCAATCGGAGAAGATATAAAAACATCAAGATCTGATTAATTATGGTCGCCTCTTAATCACTAGGATTTAATGATCGGAACTGTTTTTCCTAAGAATGTTAGAATTAAGCACAACAAGAACTACTATTCAAGATTCAAACAAGGTTCTTCAATTCACTTGTATATATGCAGAGCTAGCTTTTACTAGCGACCAGTACTGCATGGATATTCATCTCATCTCATCTACAGTTATATATATAGCTAGCTTCCCTTTTCAAAGATATGATTGGGTTGATATGTAATTAATTCGAATCAAGCACATCTGTGTTTAATTAATCATCAATTTCTCCTTTCAGCCATGGAAGCTTCAAGGCAGCAGCTACAGACCTACCGAACAAACCAGGTGTCAAGGCCAGTCCTTGAGGAATTCATACCCCTTAAACATTCGGCTTCTGATCAAGGATTAGAGAAAGCATCTACCGCATCAGAGATGGCGAGTTGGATGACAACGGCACAACTGTGGAGCCAATCGAGTGATGGAAGCAAGCAGCAGCCGGCCACGGCAGCTTCTGCAAAAGAAGTAGGCGATCAGTGCTTCAGTGTGAGCCCCAAGCTAGCTTTAGACAGCAAGCAAAGAAATGGAGGAGCTTTTCTTCCCTTCTCAAAAGAAAGGAACACATGTGCGAGTCCTACTTTACGGGGTCTTCCCGAGTTGGCTCTTGCCTCAACGGACAAAGAGATGGAAGACAAGAAATGCTCAGAGTCCGATAATGCGGTGTCAGTGTCTTGCTCGAGGAGAGAGAATTCCAGCAAGTCTAACGCCGGAGGAACGGCCACCACAGAGCAAGGAAAGGGAGGAAGGAATTCCGCAGAACCACAGCCAGCGACGACAACCCAAACTCATAGGAAAGCAAGGAGGTGCTGGTCGCCGGATTTGCACCGACGCTTTGTGAACGCCCTCCAAATGTTGGGTGGTTCTCAAGGTAATGAAAAAAAAAATCAATAACAATAATAATAACAACAGGAGGAAGATTTGAGATTTGCTCTTCTTCTGATTCTTATTACAGTTTTAGGAGAATTAAAGACTTGTTCTAATATTATTATCAAAATTATATAAGGATAACAAATTGACTCGTTTTTGTTAATTACCAAAATAGTTGCCACCCCAAAGCAAATCAGGGAGTTGATGAAGGTTGATGGCTTGACTAACGATGAAGTAAAAAGCCATTTGCAGGTATTTAGACTAGTCCTCTCTCTCTCTCTCTCTCTCTCTCTCTCTCTCTCTCGTGGTACACTGAACATGCATGCAGAAAGCATGGAGAGATTCCCTCTGCTTCATGTTCACAGTTCACTGAATGTGTAGTTCGTACTTAGTTGGTACCCAGAAGCCACAGACTGATGATATTCGGTTCATTATTGATGGGAGTTATGTATTTGTTTCAGAAATATAGACTCCACACTCGAAGGCCGAGCCCAAGCCCTCAAGCGGCTGGAACTCCGGCACCGCAGCTTGTAGTCTTGAGTGGGATTTGGGTCCCACCGGAGTACGCGACGGCGGCAGCAGCAGCAGCTCACCCTGCTGCACCGACCATCTACAGCGCACATCCAGCTTCCCACGCTTCAACACACTACTGTGCACCGGCCGTGGCGCAAGAGTTCTATCCGACACCTACGCACCAGCTCCACCATAGCCTTCACCACGTGTACAAGGCATCGTCTCAGACCCACAGCTCCCCGGAATCCGATGGTAGACCGGCCGGAGATGGGTCGGAGAGCATTGAAGATGGGAAGTCCGAGAGCAGCAGTTGGAATAAAGGCGACAGTGGTGATCAGAATGGAGGAGAAAGAAAAGGGTTGGCTTCACTGAGAGACGATGGAGATGAGAGCAATGGAAGTGAGATCACTCTCAAGTTCTAGACATAGTCTTTCTTACTTCTGGTATGCAAGCTACTATGAGGCTTCTTTTACCCTCTTTCTTTTTTGCTTTTTTGTTTTATTGCTTTTCTGAGACTCTGAGACTGAGAGTTGGAGTCTTGGAGAGGGTAGTAGAAGGGGCAGAAAAGAGAAAAGCGAGTGTTTGTTTTGTTTTTCCATCTTTACATTGTTATTACTTGTTTGGTCATTGGTGACTGGACATAGCCTGAGAAAAATTGAAGTTTGGAATTACATGATCTTTGGCGTTTTAGGGCTTTTCCACTTTATCTTACCAAATGACGGATTTGACCTCTGTCTTCTTCCATAATGGCGGGTCCCCGAAAAGGATGACTGCGTACCTTAAGGCGAGAAAGCCCGTGAATTTTGTCTTTTGATGAAAGAGACAACTCATGAAAATTTGGAACAGTAAAATTATTAAAATCAACTATTTCTGAATTCTAAATTCCGATGCCGGGTAAGAATAAAATAGAGCCCGACCCGATATCTCCCATCAGCAAATTGAAGGGTTAACGGCCGCAGATTGCATGATAAACTCGGTTTAGGATAGGGTGTCAATGGATTGATCCTGTGTTCGACCAATTAGGTCTACTGAGTTCGGATCTTAAATGAAGTATCCACTTATGTATTTCAATTCGGATAAGTTGTGATAGATCCTTGGGTAAGGTTTTCAATGGATTGAGTTTGGGCCGGGGCAGGGTATATAACCCATTCAAACAACCCGGACCTAGCACACACCTAGAGCCTAAAATCGACCTATTAGGAATGCCAATTTTTCCTGTAAAATCAACGTCTTGTCTTCTTAATCTCAAACGGGACAAGGCAAAGATGGGAAAAATATTTTTGCTCTCAGCCTCTGCACCGGGGATGGGGAAAATATTTTTGTCATGAACGGGGTTTACATATAATTCTCCAAATTAGTAAAATATCCCTAGATTTAATGTTAAATTTTAAAATATCTTTAAGTTTTTCCTAAATTCTTAAAATCTTATAATCCCATAATTCCATTTCTGTCATAATTCAATTCCTAAAATACTCTCAAATTTCCATAATCCTATTTATAAAATATCCACAAATTAATTTATTTTTAGGTAGTTGCTTTGGGGCAGAGAAAATACGGGGATTCCCCATCCCCAATAGGGAGTGGGTGCCCTACCCTAAAGCCACCCCAGTGTCATTCCTACAACCTACCAGTTGCCAGGTTTATTGAGTCTCACATAGGATTGTAATCGGATCAGATCCAGTTACATCTGCATCCACATCCGGTTATCAAACTTTGGGTCTAAATCTAATCTAAGGGTCTACTCGTTTCCTTTTAATTCTTATCTCTTAAGAGTAATCTTTTAACTTTAAGAGAAAAATGGTTGTCTGTTTCATCTTATCTCTTCTCTCTTAAAATGCAATCATACAATATTTTGTTTTCCAATAATACCCCCAAAAAGACAAACAAAAACTCTCATATATGAGGTCAAAATAGATATTTGATAATTATAAAAATTCAGAATTCAGAACAACATTCTTTGCATTCAAAGTTTAGATGAAAGAAAAGTTCACCAATACCAATATACCTCTTAATGTAATTATTACACTTTCACATGTTAGACTTCAAAGCAAATGAATAAGTCCTAAATATGACATATTGGACGTTAGATTGAATTTGGATTTAATATGTATCTACCTTATTGTGTTTACAGAGAAAAATTTTAAAAAAGGTTTAAAAAACTAATTGTTTATAACTTATAATATAATTGTATCTACCTTATTGTGTTTATCAGTTCTAAACTTTATCAGTTATAAACTTTATATAATTGTACAATATATTTATATATACATAATTACACTACATTTAACCCCATCCAATCCAATTATTAATCGGATACAAATTCTAATATTCAAATCTAGAACAATTGGATTTGGAGTCGAATCAAGTATCAGACATTTGGAGTGACTTATAATATAGAGGCCTTTATCCAAGTAATTTGATAATAAATCTGCAATTTTTTTGCTCTCATACATACATATATGCAACCATAGTTTTGAAAACTGAATTGGACCGGATGGTTGGACCGGTTGACCTGGGAACCGTCTAGGTAACCAGATCCATTTCACCCTAAAACCACTCCTGGGCCAAAAACCATTGACTTGGTCAGTGACCTGTTGACCTAGGCGGTCGAACTGTCGAACCATCAACCCAAATAAAAATTTTTGGCCATTTTTTATTTTAATTATTTTTTAAATCAGAATGAGTCATTCGTTGGAACCAGATGATCAGACCATTCAACCCAAGAACCAGGGGCCAAAACGGTACTATGTCTGGTCTAGTTTTTAAAACCTTGTATGCAACTCAAATCAAGTGCTTCCACCTACTTAGATAAAACTAAAACCAACCAGTGCTGCTGCTTGAACCAAGTTCCACTGGAGTGGGATGCTCACGTTTTTATTTTTTATAGTTTAGATTAGATGAACATTGATGTCAACACTTAAACCAGTTGAAAAATGGTTGAACCAATTGAACGGGGTCCAGTCCAAAACCAGTCCATTGACACCCTTACTCCCAAGGAGCAGATGGTTAAGATTGGAAACATGTTCAATCTCAGTGTCCATTATAATTAGAGGTGTACTACTACTGTTCTGGATTGAACTAAATTTTTAGGGTAAATTGCATATTAGTACCTTGTGAGGCTAGTCTCATTTTAGTACCCAAACTTTTTAAAATGTGTCAATGTAGTATCTAAACTTTCAAAAACTGTCAATTTAATATCCGATATTAACAGTCTGTTAGTTATTTGTATCATGTAACGACATATATGACTTATATTTTTTGAAAATACCAAAACTACCCTTTTCTTCAAAACATTAAATATTTTAGTTTTTTTCCTGTTTTCCTTTGTCTGTTGAATGAAGAGAACACTACCAACATGATCTCATATCCACAAAGAAAACTTCTTGGAAGACTATATCTTCTTAATCTCAAATCTGAACATGAAGCACAAGAGTGAGGAGAAGAGTCAGCAAAATCTTTGGTTGTAGAAGAATGGCGGAATCACTGATGTGGAGGATAAATGATCCATGGACAGCTGTTGTATTTCCCTCTTAATTTGTTGCAACTTCAAAGAGGAATCATTGATGTGGAGGATCGGAAGCAGAGAGAGCTTTGTAAAACCAAGTATAGGAAGAAGGATGAAATGGACAAAGGAATGCAGATTTTAGATTTTGTGGCAGAGCTTCAATCTCAACCACTTGTTTTTTTTGGTAATGGGCTACACAACATGGGGTATCCTTGTGGTTGTCGTGGTTGTTGACAATGCAAATCAAGTAAGAGAGAGAGAGAGAAAGAGAACCAATTTGTTGAATTTATCTTTAACTGAAGCTCATTTTTTTAAGGGTATAACTCTGTTATTGTCTCAATTAGCAAAATGAAACTCCATATTGTCTCATTAGATGAATTGCTATTCAGTATCAGTAGATGAATCCATTATTGTCTCATTAGTTATTCTTAGGGACTCATCTAAGATGGAATATGAAGCAGAATTTATGAGATAATTATAACGAAGAAATCATTATCAAACTGCATAAACATACAAAAACTATCAAAAATTTATGCATATAGAAATTGATCAACTGTATCCTTACTGTTTATATATTATCTTAAACTATCCTTAACTTTTCTGATAATTCTCAAAAATCTCCCTTACATTACTTCACCATCATACACCGTTTGCATGTAACATTAAGTGAGTAATATTTTTGTTTAGTATTCCTAAAATACCCTTTTACGCTTGAAAATGCTCCTTTTTTTATTTTGGGCTCGTTCAGGACCGGACTCTATATCTTCCTGTTCTAGATAAAGAAGGATGTATTTCTGCTTGTCTGGATGTCCTGCAGATAATTCATGCAGCAATTTTCATGTTTGAGGGGAGCTCTGGAGCTGTCAATGACATGGCACACACAATGGTGCAGAAATTCTGGGATTCTGCACTTAACCTTGAGCCACCAGATGATGGGTTTGACACTCACAGTGAACTTTTCTGCACTAATGGCGTCCAAAAGTGGAGATCCTGGAAAATACTATCCATCTCTTAGTCTTGGGAATACTTTTGCCTTTAAATTGAAGGATAGAAAGGGAAGGGTTGTATTCATAGATTTAATTCTTGTGCAGAGAACTTGGATGAACTTATTTCTTCCATCATGCAGAGGACAGGGACTGAAAATGTTGAACGCCCAGAGATCTTGTATGAAGATGATGAAGGCGACAAGGAATGGACGTACTACAATGCCAAAGCTTTTTCCTAGTACAACAATGCCAATGCAAGAAAAGAAGAAATAGATTGCTAAATATTACAAGAGCTTACACGATCTTTCCTCCGCATCAGATTTCCGGTGCTGCTTCCATTATAAGATTCTGAGATTCTTATTTTCATTTCCGATGCCGTTTCAACTCAGGTAAGGAAGATGGCAAGAAGGATGCAGGCGGAGGCGCGGAGGCAGAGGTGGAGGTGGAGACGAACATAGAAACAGAAACGGATGGAAAACGGAGACGGAGGTGGTGACAAGAGACGGAGATGGAGACGAAGACGATCTGCTTCCTATTCTTGAAAATTTTTATTGGTTTTGTTTTATTTTAAAAATTTGATGAATAGTAGAGGGCAAATTCAACATTTGCTTTTTCAAGATAATATATAATATGTAAACACTAAGAATTGAATTAGTCAAATAACTAAATCATAAGAATAATTTAAAAAATCTGCCTTTAATCTAACCCCCGAGAGACGTTTAGGTTTGGTTTTCTGCATTCCCACTTCATACTTTCACAACTATTGACAATTGAGTGACTACCATCCAACTGGGTTAAGTTGTACTCAAACAAATCTCTTACACAAACTAGGATTAGTTGAACGATTGGCTCTATATGCCTGTTAAGCCTCTATTTTCTTCAAATCAAAGTAATTAATGCCCCCTGCCTGATTCAACCATCGTACTTATCAAGGTTAGGAGGGAGGAGCGTTTGGCTCAAGGACCAACAGAGAGAGCCCCACTGTCAACTGCTCCTACTTCTCAAACCTTTTTAATTTTTATGTAGTAGAGATGTTTTGGGTAGCGCTGCAATTTCTGTTTTCGGTCCTTTGTTTGGTTTTATTTGTATTCCAGAGCTCTTTCTTTAATGTTCAAGGTATTAGAGAGGTTCGACCAAAAAAAAACAAAGGTWTTAGAGAGGTTTAAACATTTAAACCTTAGGAGTTAGGACTTTGTTTTTTTTCTTTTTTTTTTTATAATAGATGACACTCCGCCTATTTTTTTCCCAATTTGCATGTTCAATATGTTTGATAGATAAAGAAAATTAGATGACATGTGAAATACATTTTTGTCATTTTATACTTTTTTTAAACTAAACTGACCGTTTTTAAAAGTTTTGAGTGCTGCAGTGGTATATTTTGAAATTGACTGTTATAGAGTGGAGTTACACCTGAAAAGTAAGTCTGAAACTGCAATTCTACCTTTTTAGAAGAAACAGAATTACCATGTATTGAAGAATATGTACAAGATCAAAACAACCCCCAACCCCGAAAAAAAGGAAGAAAAAAAAAAAAAAAAAAAAAAAAAAGACTCTCTATCATAAATAAACAACTACCTGTTGTGTGCGGTTCTGCCCAATACATAACCAAAANTATATTTTGAAATTGACTGTTATAGAGTGGAGTTACACCTGAAAAGTAAGTCTGAAACTGCAATTCTACCTTTTTAGAAGAAACAGAATTACCATTTTTTTATTTTAAAATACAAGATCAAAACATCCCCCAACCCAAAAAAAAAGGAAAAAAAAAAAAAAAAAAAAAAGAGAAAAAGACTCTCTATCATAAATAAACAACTACCTGTTGTGTGCGGTTCTGCCCAATACATAACCAAAACAAAGCCGTGCATGTTGGGTGGGACTTGGGAGGTGTATCAGGAGTGTGGTCTTTGTAGAATTGCAGAGTATGTACTTGTATCAACTACTATGCCAATAGATACCATATATCTTAACAAAACAAAAGTTGCAGTCATGATAGAATTTGGAAGAGGCTCCCGCAAATACGATATTCCGAATAGCCCCCTGATGGACTGGCTTCATTGAGCAATTTAGGGTTGCAAGTCGGGTTGGCCCGAGTCAATAGTTTACACTGTTTCAGGCTCGGGCTTCAGGTTGGGCCTATTGAAAATTTGACAAATTCCCAATCCTAATCCGAAAAAGTTGCACCCTTAAGCAATGTTCAAGTAATTGCTTGGGAATTAGTCTATCAGATTTTACAATTAAGGATCCGTTTGATTCAAAGTCAGAATCCGAATTAGAATGGTCTATTCTCAAATGATAATTGAAATAAGCTGAAATGGAATTTCATTCCTAAGGGAGGGGGAGGGAATGGCCATTTCCTCAAATAGGGGAATGTCATTCTACCAGAAATGGGAATGAGATTCCAATTCTGTCCAACCAAACAGTTGGATTCAATTCCAATTCCAGACCCTATTTTGTATTTTCACCAACCAAATGGGCCCTGAAATTTGTATCCCAGCAAGTTATTTGGGGGGATCTTCTTTAGAAGGTACATTTCAGTGGGTTGGTGAGGCCGTGAGGGGGAAGAATGAGACTTTTAGGGGCTCCATGGGATTTTGAACTCCATTTCTACCCACAATTAGGGGTGTTCACAGTTCGGCTAAACGAATTATGGACATATTTTGCAAACCAAACCGGTGGTATTGGTTTTCCCATTTCTCCAAACCGAAACCAAACCGGTACCACTGGTTAATCAGTCTGCCGGTTTCGGTTTTTGACTAGTTTGGTTCTTCGGTTTTTCGGTTTTTTATATTTATAAAATATATTATATAAATATATGTATAATATTATATTAAATGATATATAATATATTATAAATATTTTAAATATATATAATATATTTATAAATAGATTATTATAAATATAATATAAGTATACATTTATACATAATATACAGAAAATATATAACATATTAAAAATATATATAAAACATACATATAAATATATACTGATCGATTCAACTAACCATCGGTTTTTTGTAAGTTAACCGCAAATCGCATCAATCCTTTGATTTTTCAAAAATTCCAAACCAAAACCGAATCGATCGGTTCGATTAACCACATTTTGCGGTTCAATTTTCTAGTCTGATTCAGTTTTTCGGTTTTTCCTGGGCACCCTTACCCACAATGCATGTTTAGCTATCCATAAGAATTAACAAGGTGTGCATCAAGCATCACAGAGCAGCCGCCATGGTTAAGTCTTATCCAATTCCTTTCTAGGGTTTTCTGAAACCTTCCAGTCACCACAAGATACCTCGAGAGTATTTCAGAGGGAGGTCTAGGTTACATGGGCCAGGCCTGGGTTACGCATTTGATAATATTTTCCAGAGGTGAAATTAAACTCTATTTTTTGGGAATCAACACCGACTCCATTCCCAGAGGCCAGAACAGTACAAACGTTGCAGGGTTCCCAACTTCCCGATGGTCTATGGCAGAGCATTCACTTTCCCTCCTTCCATTAAGTAGGTATTTCTGCATTTTCATGGTGGATGACAAGGCCACACCGAACTCGGATATGATCCCCACAGATARCTCCCAACACCAACCTTAAAGCAGTAGCCATGAAATGTTCCCAATGTATAGCTGCAATGTACAGTGGGGAAAGTACAAAAAAGCACCATATAGCATATATTTTTATACTTTGATTTTACTTCCAAAGTATGAAAAAAGTCAATTAGTGCTTTTGGTGAAATAGTGCTTCCGTCTTGTGTGAACAGCAGGTCACGTGTGACCACCCTTCAATAAAACTCCCGACATTACCTCTGCTCGTCGCTGCTAGAGTCGGACCGTCGTCACTGGTCTCAGACTGCGAAACCACCAGAAGCACGAATGAACATACTTTTGCCAAACAGAAAATAATACTTCTGTTTTGGAGAATATACTTTTCAAATTTTTTAACCCAAACGGCTTTTAAAGCAAAAATACCTAAGTATTTTGTATACTTTCTACTTTGATATTTTTAAAAGGACAAAAATAGAAGTCCACCCAAACAGGGCCTTATAAGTTAACTGGTTGCACTGGCTTAGCATGTTCAAGTAAAATAGATATCCATGGAGTAATATAATCTATCAGAAAAAAAGGAATAGGGTGTCATTGAGATCACAACAGATCAAAATAACAAGTAGAAAGCTTAAGGGGAGATGATTCTTGAATCAGTACCCTTTTTCCTTCTAATTTCCTTTTTTTTTAATTTTTTTCTGTTAATAAGAAAGATCTGGATATCTACAAAATAAAAGATAAACTGAAGGCAGAACTACAAAATCACCATTGAATGCACAGTAGACCAGTCAATACTTTGGTTAAGATCATGCCTTGCCATTAGCATATAGATTGCCATCCCTAATTCCAACTTCATCAGCTTCGAGCATTGCCATATCAACAAGTGACTGTCATAAGCAAGATGAATGCATATAAGTTGAAGTCATGTTCTCCAGGCACACCTTTTAACATCTAATTCTAAAACTGCACGTTTTTGTGGAAACATGGAATATCCGTCTACACATGCATGAATATGGATCAAAGTCGAACAATTCTGTACAACAATTTTTCTTTTTTGTATAAAGAATTATGTGCAATGTGAAACACTTACTGTCCCGCTCAAGTCCACGTGGTGCAAAGTCAGGGACAATTCAAAGGTCAAAGAGCCCAAGAATGCAACTCGTTAACCATATGGTGAACTTTGAATGGCTGTTACTGGATAATCGAGAATAAAGAATGCATTTAAGAGAATTTATATGGATTTTAAGGATATTAATATTGATGATATTATCAGAATCTATAGTACTCAGTGGAAGAATGTGATTTAATGGTTTGGTCCCCTCCTCCTTTGGGTTCTCTTAAATTGAATCTTATTGACTCTTATATTGGAAATCCAGAGGCCAGGAATACGAGAACTTAGAGACCACACTGGAGAGTATATAATTGTGAACCCTTGACCTACAGGAGATAGGAATTGTTCAATTCAGCAGAGATGCTATCTATTCTTCAAGGATTGCATTAGTTCTCTTATAGGCTCATTAGGTTGGAGGTATAAAGGGACTCACAGGTGATGATAGGGCAGATGAACAGAAAGGGAAGAATTCCCATGGATGTTCCAAAAAGTGAAATTAATCCTTGTGATTTTCACATATACGAGCTTAAAAGTTATTCTTAGAAGAACAAAATCACCAGAATTGTTATCAGTAAGCATGTTCAAATAATCAAATCCACAAAAATTTCTAACTAATAATGCCTCACCCCATCAGATAAACTTGCTAGAGAAGGGGAAATCTGGAGAACTGTATCAGGAACCTGTGATTCTTGGCTAGCCACAATAAGGCTACCATTTTTTTATCAGCAACACAGAAAAGAAGGCTACTATTTTATCTGTGGGGTGGGTAAGACAGGTGGAATGGTGGAACAGGATTTATGTGGTTGGCCCCATATATTTAGGACAAGACTTAGTTGAGTTGAGTTGAGTTGGGTGAGCCAGGTGCCTCTTTTGCACTCATGGTGGTGTAAATAGTAAATTGTTTCCTGCTGCACTCTTGCAGTCTTGCTATCTTTCTTTGACTTCAATAAAAGTTTTTCAGCACTAAAAAGTAAACCAAAAACAGAAGAGAAGGGAAAAAAACATTATGCTAATCTTTTGAGGCTAGCTGACACAAATGTGGCCAATCTTGACTTTTCTTTCTCTTTTGGTGGGGTGGGGAGTAGACCTGTTCGTGGGCCGGGTAGCCCGACGGCCCGGCCCAGCCCCCAATCGGTCTTGGATATGTAGTTAGGCCCTCGGGCCCGAAACACCAAGGCAGATTGTGTTTTGGGCCGGGCTCAGGATTTGTCAAAAAAAGCCCAGCCCGACTAATTTATATAATATATATATTGATAATTTAATATATACATTTTTTATTTTTTTCTTTATAATTTCTCTCTCTCTCTGTTCAGCCGCTTCAGTGGTAGCAACGGCAACAAGTTGAGCTTTAGACTTTGGGCTCGGGCCCAGGCCTGGGCTCAGGCCCAAGTTGTAGGCCCGATGATCGGGCTCAGGCCTTAAAAAAAAATCTGTTAATGAAGAGTGAAAGGCCGACCCGAGCCTGGCCCATGAACGGGTCTAGTGGGGAGGTGGACAATCTAAACATCATGCACCATGTGAAGACGTGAATACGCACCATCTCATTCATAACGTACTGAACATGCATGTAGACATGAGGCAAATGCACCAACCTACCTCTAGTTCATGATCATGATTTCCTGCCTTACTACATTGTGCATTCTATGAATGAACTAAAATATTTAAGACATCCATCATATTCATATATGATTATGAACCACTATATGCATTCTCATTTGCACTTTCCATTTTCATCCCATCTAAGAGGCAACCAGCCAACACATGCACATACTACTTGAGGCCTTTAAGATATACAGATTACAGAATGTGATGAGATAACCTGGAGTTCCTGTTCAGAGCTTTTGAGCCTTTCAGTGTAGTCCTTTACTTGCAGAAAACATTTATACAACTGAAAAGCACACACACACAAGAAAGAAACTATCATCAGTGAGCAAGTTATCAAGCAGAACTTTGACAAACATAGGAAATACAAACATGTAGCAGTTACCTTCGTCAATTGCATACATCGGTAGGAAGATAGCTTCTTAGCAGCAGCCAAGGCCTCTTCCAGTTTCTGAAAAAACATCAAACCACTAGGAGGTGATTATTTCAAATTGCAGATGCTTCAAAGTGATATTTTCAAGGAAAAAATAAAATAGCATACATAATGCCTTGACCTTTTACTGAATAACAAACTTGCCTGAGACTTCTTCTGTAAATCAGAAACAAGCTGTTGTTTCCCTTCCAATTTCTCTTCAAGCTGAGAAATCTGATAATCAAAAAATGAAATGCTAATTGATAAATAAATATAACTTGACTTTCTCGTATTCCTCAATTATGGTAAGGAACTAATTAAGAAAAAATGAGCACAGGTATAGTCCTTATACTTTAAGCAACAAGTAAACAAACAAAAGCAGTAAATAATTGATATGCCCAGAACGGTTACCAGCACAACCTAAATTACCAAATGATTAAAAACACATTTACTCAGTATTTAGAGGAAGCAACAGAGTAATAATTCATATCCAACTATTCTTAAGATACAAGCAGGTAGTTGGGGATAGGTAATGATCAGTTGGGAGTTTCTCAGTTGAATGATATACGAGGAAAAAAGAACAAAAAATTGCATGTGATGTACAAGTTGAACAAATGAAGCTCAACCGTTACAATAACTGAGGCAAAGCAATTTTTAGGAAATGAGAAATCCTAGGAGAGAAAACTTGACTTCAGAAGAAGCTTCTTTTTCTTGGAGTTCACAACCATCCCTGGAGCCAATAACCTAGCTAACTCCTAGCACAAGCCCAAAAATGCCCTGTAGCTAAAGAAATTTGAAAAGAAAGCAAATAATTTAGGAGAAATCCAAGACCTCCTACTGTAAGCAATCCAAGGGCAAAATATAAATATTTAATTGGGTCTACCTCTTTTATATAGAGACCTTTTAATTTTAATTTGTTATCAAGATTAGAAGTTACTGTCTAAAATTGCTACATATCCTTCTCTTTTCTTTAATCTACTATCTTCTCTTCCCATTCTTCAATTTGTAACTGTTCCACCAATACAATAAAGAAATCCCTACTTTGGTCTATTTCTATTGTTCTTATTGTTCCAAGGTTCACAGTATCGATACTCTTGAGAGTTTAGAAGCATCAAAACTCTCACTTTTTTTATTTGTTTGCTTTGAAAAGTTAACACCAGATACCATAACACTATTATTGAGAAATGGCGACTTTCATTCAAAAAAGAAAGGATGTACATGAGAAGATGTACAAGAAGCTCGGACCATCAAGAACAAGGCCAAAAAGAAAACCCTCCCCCAAATTACACTGGCATAGAGCTCATGCTACACAAAAAAAATCCCTATCCACCCCTGCTTTAGCTAATTCATCTAAAAAAGCAAAATAACTTGGCAGCAATCCCCCTAATCTCATTAAGAAGGAAGTCAAATATAAACCGGCCTTGCTGCGACCCGCTCTCCCAACCAATAACATTTTTAGAGTTGCATTCCACCAAATCAAAGATAAACCAAGAGAACCAGCAGCCCAAAGACCAACAAGAAGCACTCAGACTTCAGTTTCAGAGATATCCGAGTACCCAATGGGACCACAAAATCCCACACCAGCCCACCATCATATCTGATTATTAATCCCCCAATACCTGCTTTCCTTTGAGAGTTTTCATCTCCTCTACAGATCCCATCAAATTGCAGAATGAAGGCAGATGGAAGTCTAGGAGGGATTGAGGCATTAGAATCTGGCTCAAAACAAGAAGAATGAAGGGCTTGCAAGTTTCAACAGATTATTAATGACTGAAACCTTTAAAATGTCAAAAGTCTTTTATCTGTATTGGGGAATCCTGAAAACTGATACGTATAGATACTTTGAGCCTTGGTTAGATCAGGCAATTCTTTTGTTCTTTGCCATGAAATTTTAAATCCTAAAATCCTAATGATGCGGCAGCATGTACTTGGTTAGATCAGTTTCAGTCTATTTGTAAGCCCAAAAAGAAAGTAATGGGCCAAAAGGGAGGGAAGAAATGACCTGAAAAAGTCTTTTGGCCTCATTCTCATCTCAAAGGAACTTCACAGAAGAATTGATGAAAACCACAAGTGGGGTCTACTTAGGATGCAACCCTTTTATTGAAGTTGTAGGTGTCATAAGAATAGGGTTTTTAAGTTTTTCTAGAAAAGTTTCAGTTATTCCAAAAATACTATTTATGGTAACTTTTAGGCTTACTGTTCATGGTAACTCATTACTATTTATAAGTAAAATTTTGATTTACTATTTTTAGAAATTTCTGGTGTCTTTATATTTAGTTTTTGTAGGATTAATGAAGTGTTATTGAAATTCTTTAGGAGCTCAAGTCCTCATTAGAATGTCCCCAACTCCCTATGCATCATCACCTATGGATTTGTCTCAGTTTCAAAGCAATTAGAAGTTGGTTTGGATCTATTTCCTGGTCCAAATTGGAATTTGTAAAGGGACATCCAAGTTCACAAATTTACTATAAGTAGAGTTATTGTAATTGAGATTTAGGAAGGACTGGTTTGATGAAATAAACTTAGAGGAGGAGAGAGGCCCTTTGAGTGAAAAAAATAGGAAAACGAGATCCCAAGCCAAGCTGAATTTTGACAAACTTTCAGTCCAAGAGGAGGTTAAATGGAGGCAGCGGTCCAGGAATCTTTGGTTGAAAGGTGACAACAATACTGGTTTCTTCCATAAAATGGCTAATGCTAGAAGGTGTATAAACAGCATTAATACTCTGAAAGTAATTGGGGAGGTGTTGGAAGAGGATAGTAGGATTAAAAATGCCACTGTGGGCTTTTATTCCAAACTATACAGAGAAAGGTAGGAAAAAAGGCCTAGACTGGATGAACTGGATATTAACAGATTATCTGAAGAGGCTGCAGATTTAGAAAAACTGTTTTCAGAGGAAGAAATTAGGGAGGCTATCTTTCAAATGGAAGGAGACAAAGGCCCGGATGGTTTCACTTCGAAGTTCTATAAGCTGGGATGGAAGTTCATCAAGCAAGATCTACTGAAGGTTTTCGCAAAGTTTCATGCAAATGCTTCCCTAGAAAGGTGTCTTAACTCCACTTTTATCACCCTGGTTCCTAAGAAGGAAGGAGCCTTGGAGTTGAAGGATTATAGGCCCATCAGCCTCTTAGGAAGTGTTTACAAGATTCTAGCAAAAGTTTTACCTTTAAGGCTGGAGAGAGTGATGAGTAAGATCATTTCTCCCTCCCAAGGAACGTTTGTAGAAAGGAGACAGATTCTCGATGGGGTCCTCATTGCTAATGAGTTGATTGACTCGCGCAGAAGGGAGGTAAGAAGGGGCTGATTCTCAAAGTGGACATTGAAAAGGCTTTTGACCATGTTAGTTGGAGTTTTCTGGACTATATGCTCACAAGAATGAATTTCAGCTCCAAGTGGTGAAACTGGATCAAGGTTTGTGTAACCACACCCACTTTCTCGGTCCTCCTCAATGGTGTTTCCTGTGGTAGGTTTAAAAGCTCAAGAGGTCTGAGGCAAGGAGACCCTTTGTCTCCCTTCCTTTTCAATATAATTATGGAAGCCTTAAGTAAGCTCACTTGTAGGGCAACAGATAGTGGTCTCCTGCATGGGTTTAAAGTCGGTGAAAGAGATACTCAGACCTCTCTGCTTCAATTTGCTGATGATACTGTCTTTTTCTGTGATTACTCTTCGGATCAGTTGGTCTGTGTTATGGGCCCAGGCGTAGGATCTCGTCACGGGGCGGTCTGTGGGGAAAACTCCTTGCCTTCCCTTGCCCTTGCCTTTGCGGGTTGACCCTATGGTGGCGGACTGAGGGGTGATTTGTTCAAGAGATCACCTACCTCTCCTTGCTCTCTTTCTTGACTGAAAATCTGATACCTTTATTGAATGAAATCAGCTCCTTAAATAGGAGATTACAAGAGGGTTTCCTTCTTGTATTCGGCTAAGGTAGTCCCTCTCTTATCGCAACTTAAACTTCTATCGAAACTCAAACTCCTACTACTAAGGGAAACACAAAAACAGGGGATAAGGGAAAGGTACAGCTGGTGTTGGCGAGCAG